ATCTCAACAAACCACAACACTCTTAAAAAGAATTAACCTGAACATGTCTTGTTTCGAGATACTACTTCTATCTCAATAATAATCATAGAGGTTTAAAATGATTACAAAAATATCGTAAGAATAGTTTTAGAATCCAAATGTTAACATCTAAATCTATTCGCTCATTTATTCTTCTTTATTAATAGATCATTCTCGATATTGCATTGAAGTTGTGACTTCTTATTTCGTTGTTCTTTAATGTTCATAAAATTTCATGTATCAGCAACTCTCTTAGTTTCTTCCATTTTAAGTTATTAGTTTTAAATTCATATTTATTTATCTCTAGTGAAAAATCAGATCAAAAATCATATATTTTTGCAACTCGAGTTTTCATGTACATGACTACCTTGAGTATTATATCCACATGCATTTTTTCAACTTGAATCAATTTTTGTCTTAAACTCTTAGTAGCCAGAAAATTCTTTTTTTTCTTCTAGAATTCCAATAATTCATTTATGAAAATATCATTTTGAAGATTTAAAGTAAAGAAATATGTCATGGGCTAGAATAAGTTGTAGGCTAAGCAACGTATGATATGTATTATCACTATCATATTTCCATATCACATATTTTCTTGTCAGATTAATTTTAAACTTTATTAATACTATTATCTGGCTTTTGACATCAAGCTCATCTACTTTTTTTGGTGAATTTGGTTAAGCTACCAATCAACATAATGTTGGTTTGATATTTTATTTTTTTAATTTCTTTTCTCGTATATCTGTAATTACTGTCTACTTGTTTCTTATCTGACTTATCTAGAAATAAATTATTAACAATTATAGTTTTTATATTTAGTGTGAAAACATCATTTGATCAAACATAAAATTAGTTACTATATTGTAACATTTTATCTAGTTTATCAAAAAAGAAGTTCCATTAATCCCCTACATTTACCATCTAAAGCTATATTATATACATAAAATCAACCAAATTAGTAAATTCTATTGATAAAAATACAAGCTCTGGTGTGGTAAATGGTGTGTGTAGGTTTATTGTTTATAGTTCAGCTGGAAAGTTTTAACTGCTATCAAACGGCATTATATGTATTCCCATTAATTTTTGCTGTCCACCGGCCCGTTACCTTTATATCGTACCTCAGTATGTAATTTCAGATGCGATGTCGTTGCATGCTTTCCATACTCAAACCTGGGGACACGGAATCGAAATTCGAGGTCAGTCGGGATGCGGGAAGCGGGGTCAAGTACTCCATACTCAAATTTCTTGGAATACATGGAAAGCTATTGGATACTGGATGAATTCATATTGTGGCTGCAGATCCAAAGAACTTTGCAGAATGGTCTTTGCATCTTAACTTTTTTGCACCCTATCTAAACCCTAAACCCTAACCGACTGACTGAAGTGCTACGTTTGTACATACAGTCATCGTGACAGCTGAACACAACGGACAGCAATTGACAGTGCTCGTGGACTCTTCAACACTGAAGAGAATTGGCTGATCGACCTTCCCCGAGCCCTTTCCAAAATTTCACACCACGATTCCCTCCACTCAAGTGCACATGTGAACCATGATTTCAGCGCAGCTGCACATAATTCTTCACTAGAAAACCACATCGGCCACACTTTGAGATTTTTCCAAGCATGATCGCAATACCGTCCTCAAATTTATGCTTTGCTTTCCTTCAACAACTGCACTTTGTGCCTTCACAGCTGGACTTTCGGTCATACAGAAGCTCCCATCTGTTGCCGAGGCACTGAAGAAATCGAAATATCTTCGCTCAGCTGGGCACACGAACTTGCATCTCCAAGATTTCGAACTGGAATCGAATATGTGCACAGAAGAGCCTGGCTCATCGCTCCAGACGCTCTGGTCATCTTTACAGCTATCCACGATCAGCTGAAAAGAGTCGGACCATCAACTGAGCTGCAGCCAACCAGGAGCGAAAGAAAGCCTGCCAAGACGAAGAGAAAGTCATGAAAGATGCGCTGGAGTTCTTTAAAAACTGCCCGAAAACCCTCTGACGAATGAAGGAATGTTATCACTTATTTTCGTGAAATTGGAAAACGATCTTCTAACAAAGATCGATTCTATCACTGTGACATGATCTGCAAGACATGACATACTTTATACTCATATGAAATTATTTATCATCGACGTTCTGTTTCTGCACTGTTTCTTCTGCAGCAATTTGACTTACTCGAACTGTCTGCAGTTTGAAGGATCACCGAGACGATCATGTCTACCTGTGAAATACTCGACCAAGTGTCGTGACATTCGTCCAAAATGTAACATACTTATATCTTTAGGCCTTCTTGCACCACTCAAAACCCTTGTTTTAGAAACATCACCATGAAAGAAAACTTCTTTAATTCCATGCAGTAGCCTCCGACTCTTTCAGGCTTCCCCACCAGGTGAATATCATATAGAAAAGTGCCAAGCACAGGAACCTGGCTATGCCAAACCCGATTGACAAATATTATCATTAAATCCAGAAGTTGACACATCTGGATTTTGGAGTCTTCCGCATGAAGGCGTCCGCATCAAAGAAAGACCAGATTTCAAAATTTCTTGACCCATTCAACTTTCAACGAACAGAAGACTCCAGATCCGATATAGGTGGCTAAATATCAAGGCGGAAAGAGCGTCTTCGGAATCGCCCCCTAGTCCTCACTCGTAGTGATATAAATCGTGGGATGCTTTTCCCTTGAACAAGCATCTCAAAAGTGGAATGCGAGGAGTCCCACGAACTGATTACATATCAATAACGATAGGGAACCGGGAGAGTGTTCGACGATCATGATCAAGCAGCAAATCGCCTGATAGAAACAACGATTCTCCGAATTTTGCAAAGATTGCATCAGACGTCAACAACATAAAGCTGGATCGATTTTCACTTTGCTCTAATCTCATCCCGAAAACATTCGGTGCCCCTTATAGGTTCACACAAGCGTCAAGCAAAACAAGATTATGGGCCAAATGTGATGAGAACATACCTACGTGAGCAGTAGATCGTGGCGGATAGCGTGCGCCCTGAATCATCTAGGGCTGTGCGTCGCTTCGCTCAATCGCACATTCACTCAAGCGATTCTTCTGGTGCTCTTGATGAACCGCTGTTGATCTCAGACCAGAAGATCCCTTCAAAACGGAATCATACGTTAGGCTCAACTGAGTCAAAGATTCAAGTGCAAGAACCGGACTTCCAGTTGGACAGAGATGGAACCGGAAAGCGAGCTTTTCGTGAGTCTACTTCCATCCGTGATCCCAATTCACTGAGAACAAGAAGAAGTACCTTCGATTCAGTGCACAGTGTGGCCGCCCACACATTGCAAACTCGTGACACAAAAGTACAAGGCCAACAGTGGCTTTCAGCACTTCATGAGGTGGGATTTCAGTCCAGCCCGTACACAGTGCTTCCTCCAGGTCAGCCGTGTGGACTCTCCAGGCCGCGTGCACGCCAAAGCAAAGGTTTCCGAATGGCGAAATGTGGCTCCCTCGTGCCTCCTCAAAGTGCCATGCAAACTCCGCTTCAATTTAAAATAGCGAAATTCTCATGCCCAATCTGAACTCCAGGTTCGCTTTCTTTGCTGAAACTCACCAGCCTTCAACTTCCCGGCAGCTCATCCAAACTGCAAGAAAAACCGACTGACGGCCGGAGAATGAAATGAAATGAATATTCCGGATTCGGAAACCTGTACGTCATGATTACCGTGGCGGAATGCATAAATCAACCCGACGCGAAATCGATTTCCAAGCTCGAAATTTAATCGTTTTCGGGCCCCGACAGGTCCAGTGAATCGAGTTAGAGGTCGCGAGAATAATGTTCTTAATCTTGCCATTCAAAGCACCGAGGAGAGGGTGATCAGACACCAGAGCCCGATTGATTAGGAGGGAGCAAGAGGCTTCAAAAGCCCACAAATCCGAACACGATAATAATGCTCGAAATTGGTGCGCGATCGAATCATGGATTTAGCGCAAAATAGGACCGAAAAGGGCCAGTGACACACCGCCACGTGTCCGAGGCGAGAAATAGGACGAGAGGTTTCAGATGGTGGCGTGGTGACGTGGGCGTGAATCTTTTGGCCGAATCGATGGAATCTCTCTCGAGCCGGTGGGGCGCAGCGGGCGGAACCAGTTCCGGTCATCGCGCTGAGCTTTTCCACGCGCCACTGTAACGGCGCGGTCGTCTGCCCCGCGCCACCCGGTGCCGACCCCGCCGGAGCAGCTGCGCACGGACGACGTCCCTCGCCCGCGACGTGGACGGAAGGGGAAGGAAAACGCGAGCCGAGAGGAGGTCGCCGCGCCTCCGTGAACGCAGTCGCCGCGCCACCGGATCGACCCGGTGAACCCGTCGATGTCCAGGGAAGGAATCGTGCATTCGCTCACGGCGTGCGGCGTCATCGGCTGGAGCTCGGTTCTCGGAGGGGACGGGGCTCACGTACTTTCCTTTCCAGCGCGGTCGCCTGGTCATGAATGAATTCCGGCAAAGAGAACTCACAGTGCTCTCCCGATGGCTGCCGCATTCGGATCCCCAGTACTTTGACCCGCGATCCCCACCCGAAGGAGCATGGCAACTGCGGCGCGACTGGACCCGGACTCGGTATCGGAAATGGAGCACATGGAGCGACTGGGATTCAATTCCATCCCGGAATTCGACAACAACAGTCTGAGACCTGTTCCGTGGAGAGTATTGTTGCGTCCTTGGAGCCCACACGGAATCGTCCTCCGGCTCCTCATTCGGTACTGTACCGGGATCGCATCGAGGAACGCCAAAGGGAGGGATGGCAGGAGAGGTGACACTCCGCGGCGAGCGCAAGGCAGTCTCGGCGTTATTATTAGATGGGGAATGGGGAAGAATTAGAGTCGGTGGTGAAATGAGGCGGCGGGGATTGAGGGGGGGATAAGACATTAGAATACTTGCGAGACTCGGGGATCGTCTGTCCTATTTGCCGGGGGGCGCGGGGAGGCTGGCCACACGGAAGGATTCCGACTATAGACGATCGATGAGGAGGGTCTCATGAAGCACTCGAGGCGCAGACAGCCCTCGACGTGTGGCCTGCTTTTGGAGAAGGGGGTTTGTCGGTCGAGGATCCCGTGTACAGACAGCTTCCAACGTGCCCTCACTGTCGAGACAGAAATGCCCGCCAAGTGTAAAGACAGCGGTCGACGTCATGGAGCTCTTATAATTGCTTTTCCTCGCTATCTGTTTGGAACATTTGGGCCTTGTTTGTAGTTCTGGATCATTCCTTCGTTCATTCATTCGTTCATTCCCTCTCTTTTTCTGCCTTTCGAGCTCGCTCGTTCGTTCATCCGTTCGTTTATGCGCGGGAGCGGGGCGGAGTGTCGAGCACGAGGAGCCTCTTGATCGACGACCCAATCCCAATCCAATCCCTTGTGTTGTTCTCGGGCGTGGAAAGCCATGTTGAGCCATGTCCACGGAGCTGTATCTGAGCCTCGAAGAGCATGATTCTCAGCGAAACTGTTGTAGGATGCACATTCATGATTCGAAAATTTCTCTCTAGCCGCTGTGGATCAGCGTTGCCCGTCCGCTGCCGCCGCTGCTGCTGCTGCTGCACGCCCACCGCAGCTCAGGATCGTTCGCGCTCGACCTCGTTAGAAGATTTCTGGGATTCTCGCAAGTTGTCCGTGATTCTGGTCCGAAGTCGCTCGCCATGTGGACCAATGACTACTTATCAGATCATTTTAGAGCGGTGGAAGCACTGCCAGACTTCTGGCATATCATGAGGAGCATGTTCAATCTGACGGATCCCGAGTACGAGAAGTGCGAGGCTCGGCTTCTGAAGGAGCTGAAGCAGGTGAACAGGATAGAGCTCACGATTCCGAGCGTGAAATTCCCGAGCCGAGGAGGATTCGGGACGCTGGGCCACGCGCTGCAGCAGGGCTGCTTCCCTCGGCTGAAAGCGCTGCAAATTTCCGACAATGCCTTGTCGGTGGACGAGGTGAAGGAGCTCGCCCGCGCGATCAAGCTGGGCAACTTGTCAAACTTGCGAACCTTCAGTTTGACCAAGTGCTCCATAAATGCTGCAGGTGCTGAAGTGCTCGCGGAAGCGATGGAGCGCGGAAAGCTGGCTCGGCTGCAGACCTTGGAGATGGACGGCAACCCCATCGGGCACCGGGGGCTCATGGCGCTGGCCACGCTGCTGGAGTCCGGGCGCCTGCCGGCGCTCAAATCGCTCGCGGTCTCGTTCCTGGGCGAGACGCAGCCGCACTCGCGAGTCCCGGAGCCCATCAGCACCGACGCGGCGGACGTGTTCGGGCGAGCTCTGCAGTCCGAGCAGATGGCGGGCCTCAAAGACCTGACGCTGCGGCACATTGTGAAGAAGGAGCTGATGGCAGCCGTCTCGAGGGCGCTGGAATTGGGCAAGAACGCCAAGCTGAGGTCGTTCACGCTCAGCGACTGCGATTTGGGAGAAGCCGAGGCGAAGGTGGTGGCCGGCGTGTTCCTGTCGCCCAACTTCTCGTCTCTGGTCTCGCTCAATCTCGGCGACAACAATTGGGTCGGGGACGACGGTCGGGCCGTGCGAGCTCTCATCCAGGGCTTCAAATCGCCGCACTTGAGGACTCTGCAGGTGCTCAACATGCAGTCGATGCCGAGCAGGTCGATCGAGGACGAGCATCTGGCCGAGATCGCCGCGCTCCTGGAGGTCGGGCACCTCCCGGGGCTCAAGACCTTGCACGCCCGAAACGTCAGCCACTACATTCTGGCCGTCCTGAGCCCGCCGGCCATGATCAGGGCGTACCAAAACAATCCATTCCTGGTGGCGGAGGTGATCATGGACTGGCCGAGCCAGGCCATGCAAGCCACGGCCGAAGGCCTGAGGAAGTCTAATCAGAAGCTGGGCAAGCGGCTCAAATGGCTGAGGATCGAGCCTCAGGTGTGCAGGAGCCATGTCAAAGTGTTTCTGTGCGGCCACGCCAGAGTCGGCAAGACGACATTGCGACGGGCCCTGTGTCGGACTCAGTGGGAAGCTCTGAGAACGAGCCAGAGCGACTGGAGGAACGAAGGCCCCGCGAAGGACGATGAGGTGTCTCAGATAGTGCAGAAGAAGCACGTCCTCAGACTGTGGGATCCAGAGCTTCCGCAGATCCCTTTGGCCGACGGCCCCCCGACCATCTTCATCATCGTCTGCAGCGCTAACTACTACGGCAGCGCGCTGGAAAATAAGAGCCAGGCCAAGCAGCAGCTCCTGCACTGGATGAATTACATCTCCTCGACCAGCGTGGAGGGCCATCACGAGGGCAGACGGCACGTCATAGTGGTGCTCAACTCGTTCGAAGGCGATCATTCTTGTCACTCCGAGCCCGATTGGACTAGCTTCATAACTTTGTACAGCGAGATCTATGAAGACACTTTGAGAATATGCCACACTCCCTTCATCCTCAATGCCCTCTCGCGCAAGGAGGTCATGCGCTTCAAGAAAAAGCTCTTAGATTTCGCTCGTTTTCGAACTTGGAACTGGACCAGCCAGGCTAATAAGTTAGACAAAGTTCCATCCAGAGAATCTTTGGCAACCTTGACAGGGCCCGGGAAAGAGGAGCCCGCCGATTTTGATTTGTGGAGACCGATGACACCTTGAGTCCGCCGGATTCAACTTCTCATATTTGCTGGAATGATGGTGAGACTGCTGGTTTCGAGAAAAGCGCGGATCCAGAAAAGCTAGTTCTGTCGTCGCGCTTGAATCCACGGCAATTCGGTTCGTGACAGTTAGTTTCCAAGCACTTGATCTATGAACGCGGGAGCACCGGCAGGACACGACGCCCTTAAGGAGCATGAAATCCTGTCTCCGACTTTCTGGTCCAGCCCGCCAGTTTCTGTGAATGTTGTAAACTAAGATCCTCTGCTCTGGTCGTCAGAAGAAGAATAGAACAATCGCTGGATTACTGCACGGGATGCAGCATCCACAACGAATGCAAAGTTTGCTCATCTCAGCTGCATTTTCTCATAGGACTCCAACTCCAAGTATACAACTACACAACTTAAGTACACTCTTAAAGGTTTTTGTCATAGTCTGAGACACTTGTCTCGAGCTCAGTGGGACGAGTTTGAGAACGGTGTGGCCTGTTCTTCGATTCAGAACGGTGTGAACTGTATACTAGGTACACAATTGAAACTAAATTCTGAAAACTTATCACAGAGTTCTACACTTAGCAATTAGCAATTAGCTTATGTAAAGTACCATTCTATCAGGCTAGTTAGCACTAAAACAAGCCCAATGACCCTCAGATGCAAAGTAATGCCTTCATTTGTTTTTTCTGAGTTCCAGTATGCCCGAAGGGTTTTGTGTAATGTCTTTAGCAAACTATATATGCGCAGTGTATGAATCGAAGAGCGTGTCGGAATTTAGATCCGACATGAACTTTTGAGACTTGTGGAAGCGGCAGTCAAACTGCTGTAACGATTGATAGAAACCGTTACACCCCATTTGTTTCTTTCTAGCCCGAGGAAGAATACCAAAATAACCAGGATTGAACACGGGTACCTAGACAGAAATGCTGGGCACTGGCCTCGGTGCCAGTTTGCACCAGCTCTGCCTGCAAAAGGCTCCAGAACTTAGCGTTCAGTTAAGATTCATAGTCAATTCCCACACGTGGATGAAATCCCAGTTTGTTGGCCGCGTAGGGCCGAAATCCCTGTTTACGCGCATGATCGTCATCAGACATTGTTAGGTTTCGGTAAGCTACCAAACGTCTTAGTCAATAATCACAAATCACCATGAAGCCATATTCTCAGTTTCATACGTATTCCAGGAGTTCTACTTTCTGGATTTCGGAGTTAGGGAATTCTCCGAGATGTTTAAAGCTTATTGTTTACAGAAAATTCCCTGTACCCTTGCAGTATATATACATGAGCGGTGCGTAAAGCGAAAGTCCAACACTTCTGTGCATCTGTACGTACTTAGTCTTATCCACAGTAACTTTACATTGCTGGATAGCAGCGGCGTGAGGCATATGAAGAATGATCATGACTCGGGGAACTGTAAATCGCATGGTGTTTTGATTCTCTGATTTCGTGCTTCAATGATTACGGGTTGATTGCTGAATGACTGGATTATGTAATTACGACCAGATGTTTACCTCGCTAGAGATCCCATGCAATTCCTTCTCATTAAGTGTAAATTATCGACAACCAGGGGTTGCCTTACGGTACGAAGACATCAGAGACTTCTACCCTGTGAAAACCAGATGGTCGGTCACCCGGTTGGTGAATCTTCTATGATCTTCTGTCCATAGAGTTACATTGATCCCAGTGAAGGGTGAAAATGACGCTGAACAGGTCGAGAAATATGGTCAATGGTACCAACGTAGTAAAACACTCTTCACGTTCCCTCGCGCAGCTTCTGCAACAGCACTTCGGCGGAGTCAATGTCTGCGGGATTGAACAGCTCGGACAACTGATGCAGGCAGAGTTCCGACCGATAGATCACGTAAGGTTGGAGAGGGTACCACATTACTGCTGAAAATAACGTTTACAGTGCGGACAACACTCTTCAACACTCTTCAACAGCCTACCTGCAGAATCTGCACGTGCTGGCTAGATATCACCAACCCTTTTGATGGTGTACAAGACCTCGAGCATAAACTCATCTACAGATTGAGTGATCGCACTATCGGGTTAGTATAGTTCGTTGCTACAAGTCCTCCTGACTTGTGCGACGAGTCGAAGTCTGAGGTAACCACGATCCCTGCAGATGATGCACAGACCAACTATCATCACGGTGGCATGACCTGCCTAAAACCTTGTGCTAAAATTCACGACCAAACTAGGCCCATGCACAATAAGGAGCAGAACATATCGTTGTTAATTTGTGCTCACACACATCAACCATGTCAGCAGATTAATCAGTACGTTGACAATCATAGCACTCCAGTATGATGCGTACTACGTTTTCGAGTCAGGACATCCTCAGATTCATGAGCGACTTGGGAGTCCAGAATAACATTTGCACCAGGGGAAGTAGCAAGCCGTCAAAATCACACAGCGCCTCTAGGCAGCAGCAGTCTTGAGATCCAATGTAGTCAAGGTTGAGAAATCATGACAAGCATCGTAAGGGGCAAAACAGTCCTCATCATGCGACGCATCAAGAATTCGCCAACCCTAACCTTCAAGCATGGATGGTATGCACCTAGAGTACCATGTCTCAGAGTTTGATGCACTCAAACCAAACCTTTAAACCAAACCACAGCTGCAGCAAACCGACAAGGAAAAGTTCATTCTTTATCTTTGGAGTTAAACTCGAAGTAACCAATCGACATTCAGCACAACCATCGATGTTTAAAAGTGGGGTGAGGTACTTCATCAATCGGAAGAGCCGGCCTATCAGTGTCGGCCCCTGCAGCGTATGCGAGTCTCCAAAATACTTGGCACTCGGAAGTGGACCACAAACTTTGAGAGTATGCCGATGACCGATCATCGATCATGCTCCCCATTTCTACAGATGAGGGATTTGCCATTGAGCCTCGACTTGTCAGATTTCAGTAGACTTGGACACAGAACAGGAAAGGCAAGCACAAGAAGACGATAAATTGATTACTTCTGAAGAAGAGACAGGAACCTTTACTGTAAACCCTCGTACAAGTCGAGCCTAAACGACGGAGAGAAAGAGAACTGTGGTCCAGCCATAACCACTGGTGTCCATCGTGTGCATTGTTGCCCAAATTAGGTGTCCCAGTATTAACACAATGAAACCAGACGGAAACAACCTCCAGGTTTTTCCTCCGACACACGCACCCGTTTACCTCACTGGACGGTATACCAGCAAGGGGAAAGAGACATGGGATAAGAACTCAAGACACGGATTCGGTGCACCCGGCCCCAAAACTCCTATAGATAGGCTGCGTATGTTCTACGGGAATCTCCTCCAGAGCCTGGATTTAGTCCATTTTGGCTACCCCAGCTATCTAGCCGTAGAGGCACTTTGCAACCTCGTTGTCATACAGCTCATGCTCAGACATGTTATCGATGGGGTTGAGTTGCATTCGATTCCAGTTCACTGTGACATAGAAATGTTAACATTCCAGTTCACTATCACTCCGATAAGTTGTGCAGAATATCACATCTGAGTTTCTCGTGTCCGTCTTACGATAGTCGATGCTCTCACTGGCAGTCAGAGGGCCGACTCTGCACTGCACGGCCTACCGAGTAGATCATAACCTGGCCAAGATCTTGACCCTGAAATCCAAGCCTACTGTGCCCAGCTCCAAAAGCTGCGACGAAGCTTTGGGAATACAATACATTTAAAGTGTTTCCTCATTCTCAATGTTACCATCTCCCCAAACTCCATTGTCCGTAACGTTTTGTTCTCAGAGTGAGCAGCTCCAGATCTGTAGGTTGGCCTCTACGCAGTCGACATGTGCTCTATTTCGCACTGGTGAAGCTTCAACAATACAAACCATACTTTGGTGTGGATAATTAGAATTCTCTAAGCCTGTAGTATCTAAGATTCTCGAGTCTAATCGGGTTACCTCCGGTCAATAAATCTACAGCGCTACTATTGTCCCACCTGTGACGGTGAGGCAAGTGATAGAGCGAGATGTGAAGATTCTTCCTCACCTTTTGGGCCACTCAATGCCTGTGCACCACTTTTATGGAGAGTCGCCTTTACAGATTGCCAATCACCTTTGAGCAGAGGAGACACAACTCTTCTCCCAACGCAGAGCGATTGGCAATACGGCATACTCATACTTACCAAGGAGATATGAGGAACTCCACCGGCGAGGTTGCCAACTTTTGGGATAACAGTTTGTCATTACATCGCAGACTTATCACCTTGTTCAAATCGTGCCTCGTCCTTAGGAAGTCGGTTACCGATCCAGAGGCGTGGATCCATTAGCTCCGTTGTGCTGGAGGGAGGGGGCAACCAGGAAACGCTTCTATGTTCCAGATATGGATTCATCGTCGATGATGGGATAATGCTTTTTTTTATTCGACGAGACTTTTGTTTCCAAGTCGGCTTTTGTGAGAGCATTAGGATCTGGCGCTCGAATGGCTTCCCTACGAAGTTTCCATGCTCCTACTCCACCTGGTAATTAAAATATCGAAAAACATCATACAAAGACTATTTTGAGATCATTATTCTGGCATGTGGCTGGGTTCAGTTGTCTGTGCTCTGAAGCCTCTGATGTGGATGGTAGCGGGTGTGATGATTACTTCGCAATACTCAGATGTTCAACCTCCAGTCGAGCGTACCCCACGACACCTCACCCTCGGTCCCTGAAAGTACACTCTGCTCTGCGGGCCTCGTCCTGAGTTTTGATTCGCCTCGTGGGTGCCCTTCAGAGGCGGTCACATGTAAAATGTATTCTCGACTCTCAAACACACTCGATACCCTTCAGATCGATTTAACGACGAGGTGAAAAGTATCCAAGGTTATTCTAATCACTGCGGTTCTCAGGACAAGTGAACACCTTTTCAACTATTTATATACTTGGCCCAATTTCCCTTCTGGAAAAGTTAGTTGGGATGTCTCCCGTCCGAACGCGTGAAGTAGTGCATGGGTTTTCGAGATCTAATACTGAACGCAAGAAGGAAACCAGGTTCATTCTGTTGCCCACCTAGAACACCAACTGCTTCGAGGTTTCTGTGTCATCCTATAATCTCTTCCTCTTGTTGTTTTCTTCTCTTTTCGCTCGTACATGGACCACAATCTTTCAGAAAAATTAATTGTCAAGTTTATTCCAATATATTCAACAATTTCATTCTCAAGATCATATCATTTGGCCCATGTGTAGCCTCTTCCCCATTTTATTAGGCTGAGAATGATAGGAAATATCACGTCTTATGTATAATACCGTTAAATATGACGTGGGAATGAGTTTTTCTGTGAAGAGCATATTTTCATAGGTGGGCAAAACCATGTGGTACATGTACGAGCGAAAAGAGAAAAAAACAACAAGAGGAAAAAGTCAGATGAGACAGAAACCTCGAAGCAGTTGCAGTGTAATAGAAGACATATAACTTCCAAAAATTTCAAACTAAGAAGGAAGAGATTTGGTCGAGGAGCTTAAAGGTGTAACCATATCTCGGCGAGCGTAAAGCCATGGTTCGTTCTCAAATCTTGGATCTACCTAATGTTGGAAATCAGTACCCACATGATCTGATATGAAAGCGAAGATATGATGACATTATTCCTCTAAATCTGCCCTGTGCATGACACATTATTGATGATCATGAATTCATGAAGAAGAATCAAAAATATGATTACAACATCTGTCGTAACCTCCTTCTTTTCGGTCGAAGCAACCGGCAAGCCTTCTTTATAAAGTGATGGTTCATTACCGTCTTGAAAACGGTCCTCGTCTTTAGATTCTCGGTAGCACCACATTGACATAAAATTAACACTAGCTCCATGCCTTGATACATGTGAAAAATTGATCTTTTACATTCTGAGACTTAAGTCTGCAAACCATTTCTTTGAAGATAAAAATAAAATAAAAAATTCATGCAACATGGCTACTTTTATTAATTTCATTGAGTTTGAATATTAGAAAAAAACACATTATGAATTGGCAACAGATATACTGTATGAGAAAGCTACACCACATTGTTGATAAGTAGGCAATCGTCATAATAGATGAACTGTGGGTTTTTTGCATCCACTCATTGGCATAGAGTGTCTTTATATGTTACGGATTCTAACCCCAAAGTAACTATGTCTTCAATTATAACTATGCTACTTGTGTGCGTCCTGTCCCATGTTTATATTACGAGATCTATTTGGCCAAAAATACTATTTATGGCAAAATAGAATAAAATATTCACTTCTTATTCAAAAGTGAATCATTATCTTTAAGATTATTATTCTTACGCGATAGCTCAACTGATTTCTCAGTGTTATTCATGTAATTGCATTAAAAATTATAGTAACTTTGTTTGCGAATAGCTAGGTGCTTTTTGGCTTCATGCAATTAAAATTCATTGTATTATTGCCGGATATTTTACTATGTAAAAGAAATAAAAAATTCAAGAATAAATTTCATAATTTTTTGAGAAAATATCAGTCTAAAATATTTTCTTATCAATTTGATACTATATTAAGTTTTTTTTCATGTTAAACTCAATTATGAGTAAACATTGTGAGAAGTGGTAACCGAAACTAGGTAAAAGTGAAAAAGTGAAAAAAGTGAAAAAAGTTCTCTTCAAATTATTTCTTAATTGAATTAAATTTTATCAAATACATCAAAAAATAGGTAATATTAATTTTTATTACAAAAAATTAGACAAAATGATGTTATACAAAGCTTTTCCATATGATTATCATCATACATACGAAGTACAATAATTCTTACAAATTCATGTTCAACACAAAAAAAATTGAGCTTTCACTAGTTTAATTAATGCGTTAAAATGGTGTCCAAGTGAACTTAGACACTTATCTTTGTATTTATGATTAAATGATATGCGAGTTTTTTCAATCACTTTAGATTCATTTAGAAATCATATGTACCATATGATTGATAAATGAAATCTCCTCTTACATTTCACTAACATCTTCAAAAATTTATTGAAAGAACATAAAAAATGAAAGATGTATAACAATTTTACAAATAAGTTACCAAGTTAACATTTGCTGATAAGTTTAAGATCACAATTCAACATCCTTTAATTTCATTCTCATTTTGATTTTGCCATAAAATATGACTTTGCGCCAATTTTTCTCTTAGTTTGCCTGTTCGGTTACATTTTGTGATCAACCGGAGTTTGCAGCCCTGACCACGATCACTTTGAGTGAAAATCCGTGATAGGTAATTTGGAATAGTAGTTTTGCAAACGGCACGTAGCAGGTAACATGGTCCAACATTTCCTCTTCGATGAGCTCTGACGTCGAACGGCGTTGGTAGTGGCCCATACTGGCACAGCGGCGGTGGTGACCATTTTTCAAGAGGGGGGCTGTCGGTTTGTGCCATCTAGCCATAGAATGCGAGGACTCCTACATTTAAATTCCGAGTTGAAGTAACAAGGTTTCTGAAACTTGGGAAAATCATGGTATTGACCATGCCTGATCGATCGAACGGACATATATCAAGGTATCATTACACACAGACGTTCAATCTCTGAACATGTGGATGGACGAATCTACTACACACACGCTTTACGGTGAAAATCGGTCCAATAAATTGCACACGCTATGCTACAAATGTCTCCCGGCCCTTAGAAAGCTTGCCATGGGATGATAACCGAAGAGAAAGGTACCTGATATCGAATCCTCGAATTCGACATGAAAGCACAGCCCACCCTTCGTTCCCTCGATGCGATATTGCTCCTTTTCCGTGCCTTTTGCTTTTCCCTCTCTCCCTTCTGCTCGACCACTGCAGCACCTACTGCCCCTCCTCCTCCTGCTGTCCGGCGAGGGGAACCGCCACAGGGCTCATGCCTCTGTGTCAGAGCTGGCTCCCGATTTTTCCTCGCCTCGCCTCTCCTCTTCTCTTCTCTCCTCCTACATTCCCCTCTGGGCTCGTGGTCGGCCTGTTTCGGTCTCCATCTCTCACTAGCTCTGGTGCAAAAAGCAGTTAAAACCGGCTGCAACCTACTACCGGAAGTGGCTCTTACCGGTAAAGGGGGAACCGAGGGAGACTTCGCAACGCAGAAAATGGTTGCCACCTGCCCAGCGAGGGAGGTCATATTTTCCTGATCCATAGGAGTATTAATGGGACCTGGAGTAAGGCTCACTCACGGTCGCACTGTCTTACTCGGGTTGGGCGAGCTCTCACCACCGTAGACGGCGGGCCGACGCATACCTTGAGTCGACCATCAAGTACAGTAGAGTACAATTACTGTACTCCACTGTAAAAGGGAGCGGAGCTGACCTGCACTGGCCAGCATCATTGTCCGGGTACGGATTTCTGTACCGTATTCGGACTGCCCACCGTCGGAAACGAGACGGGGACGGGACGGGAGTCAAGGCCAAAGAGATATTTACAGAGGCGAACGGACCGGGCCGAGAGTTGGCGTCATCCGGACAGCTCCACCATCTGCGTGACTCAGAATTGCGACGATTGTCGTCTAGGGCGGCGAGCGGGTCGGGCTTAACGGGGCTCTCCGCGCCGCATTAACCCCGTCGATCGGTCGGTCGGTCGCAGCGAACTTGTCAACTCGTCACGGCGACTCGGTCGGGTCGGGCGAGCTCACGTCGTAGTCGTCGCGTACTGTATTTGACCGTTTGGGAGGAGTGGTGGCGAGGGGGGGGGGAGGACCAAGTGGGGGCGAGTAGACTCGGGCATCTTTTGTCGCGTGGCTTCGTTGCAAGTACCGTAGGTAACGGTACATACAGCAAAAGGTCGCGCTCCATAAATGAGCGTCTGATCGGGGGCCACTGTGTGCGCAGTGCATAGGCCGGCCCCCGATTTCCTGTTCAACACGGTTTCACGGTGCGCAGGGCAGGAGAGCAGGGCCGGGCAGGGCAGGGCAGCGCAGGGCAGGGCGACCTGGCCAGTGGACGATCCGAGTTGGCCTGGATCTTCTTTTCCTCGTCCAGCCGGTCGCGTTCTTGCCAATGTGCGCAGTTTAAACGCCGCTTCCTCCATCCGACTGCGACCTGCTCAATCGATCGATCGATTGTCGGACCAACGGACTGGACTGGACTGGACTGTCTCAGCTCTCACACCTCACCACCTCACCTCCCACACCTCACCTCCTCTCCCATCTCCTTTCCTCTCAGAAGAAGGTCCACTTGCGGGTGGTGGGTGACCTTGAGCACATCTAATATCTCGCTCCCCTGCTCGCTCGGTGGCTCGTCGGCTCTTCCGCTGTGAGAAGCCCGTTCCTCGTTTCGCGCCACATTGTCTCGTGCGGTGAACATCAACATTCTCGATCCACTTGCTCCGGTGCTCGGTCCTTCCCATCCACGTGGGGTGGGGGATTGGAGCCGGGCCCCGGCTGGCCTAGCTAGCGAGCGAGCCAGCGAGCAAGCTTTGCCTTTTATCCTGCTCCTTCACCTCCGCGCCCACCGCAAGCCAGAGCGCAGAAGGCAGACCGAGACACAGAATCAGACAGAGACACCGAGAGAGAGAGAGAGAGTGTGTGTGAGTGAGCGAGACTTGACTTGGCCCTGTCGAGTCAGTCTCGATATATTGTCGTTTTGAAGCTCTCGTTGCCCTGCTAGCAAAGCAGAGCAGAGAGAGCGAGAGATCGAGAGCGAACGTGCTGACGCCAAGTACCGAGTTTGAATATTTCTCCGTCGAGGGGCTTTCACATTGAGCCCGTCGATGCAAATTTGCCTGGGTTCGAAGAGGGGAATGTATCCGATGGAAGTGAGCTCCTGAGAGAACAGCAGGGAGGGGCGACGGTCTCTGACGCCACTCGCATTTTCTGCACATGTGAAGAAGTGATTTGCTCTTCCGTGCTAGGGTAGGCGCTAGCACCGGGAAGAGCGACGGCCGCTGTTGGTTCCGACCGAGCTTCCTTCCATCGGGCCCGCCCGCATTGTATGATGCGCCCATCGAGCTAGAGGCGCAGGCTGCAGCGGGTCAGAACATTTTTCGTCCTTTTTTTAATCTATTTCTGTGAAGCCGTGCTCCTCTCCGAATCTGCTCGCAGGTTGTTCGGATTGAAGTGCCAGCTTTTCGGAGCATCTATTTGTCCACATCTTGGCGCCCGGGAGGGATCTCACGGCAGCCGCGAGTCAGTCATCAAACTATTCGTCTCGCATTTTAGTGTTCGCTTCATGACTCTCTCGGAGCAGTGCGTGAGTCGCCGGGATCCCAAATGCAAGGTTCTGAAGAGCGCCTATGGATCCGTCGCCCGGGAGGGGTGTCGCTTGCCGGGCTATGGATCGTGCAAGCCGACGATCAGTAAGCTAAAGAATTTGTGCGCCGATCGATTACGGCGCCCCGAGGGATTGAAGTCCAATTGTGCATTGAGTTGTATTTGGATCATCGTCACATTGCTGAGTTTGTTCGCCGCTCTTCACCTCGGAACGTCGCTCACGCACGGCCAACTGCTCTCCTCGGCCAAGATAGAGGGCCGAAGAGTGTCGTATTTTCTGGGCAGAAACTGGAGAAGGCTGACCGGAATTTCTTCCTCCAACTACACGTACCCGGGCCTCGTTCCTCCGTATGTCAACGACTCGTTCTGCTCCGTCCCATCTCGAGCTGACTTAGATCCGCAGCATGGCCTGGTCAACCAGTCGGCCAACGGGCCGGAATTCCCTCTGTGCCTGGCGGTGTCCATCGGAGATGACGGCAGCCGGCCTCAGGGCAAAGCTCTGCCTTACCAGCTGGTGTACACGCGATTGTTCGGAGCTCTGAAGGAAGAGGTGGAGGCGAGCAGGGCACGCAGCGGCGACAAGAATAAGGAGGACGTGCAGGTTTTGGTGGGGGTCGATTTCGGATCCGTGGTTTGCAAAATGCTGAGGGATCATGCGGAAGAAGTGCCGGGGATGTCTGCGGAGTGTCGAACTTTCGAGGAGCTGGAAGCGGGCACGAGATGCGGGCTGTTGGTTCTTGGGCGGAGCCAGCGATTCGTCCCTCAGATGTCTCCGCTGTTCAGCCGCGCCGTGGAGTGGAAGAAGCGCCGCTCGGTGGATTTGGACTGCCCGAATCCTCAGCACGAGCCTCCTGCCATTCCCGAGAAGGATTGGCAGCCGACGGTGGTGACGGGCTTCAGCAGCAACCACATGGCTGTCGGGCTCCTCATGCTTCGATCTCTGGGGAGAGCGGCCAAGGAGGGCACGAGCGGACTGTTCAATGTTTCGGTTGTGGTCTATGCCATGGAAGTGTTTTTGCCCGAGCACCAAAAGCTTCTCGACTGCGTCCTCGACGAACTGAATCACGAGTACAATGTCAGGGCGGAGATGAGGTTGTTCGATTTCTCTGCGCATCCCAAGTGGATGCGGATAAACCAAGATCTTGGCTACTTCGGAGGCACGGGCGAATACGCATGGAAGGCAATTATGGTCCACACTATTCTCCGGGAACGAGGAATCGCGGTTTGGGCTGACGCCGGGGATCGGTTCAAGGATACAGATTCTCTCGTCGAAACTCTCAAGGTGCTCAAAGCGACGGGCTTCGTTTCGCGGAAATCTCACGGCACTGTTTGGACTCGCACCCACCCTCTGCATTTGAAGTTCCTGCGGGCCAATCTTCCGGGGATTTGGGACCAAGAGAATTGTGAAGCCGCCATCGTCGGATTCACTCTGAAAAAATACAAGGAGATCGCCAGACCGTGGTTCGAATGTTCGACGATTCGGCAGTGCATTGCTCCGGATGGCTCTGACAGAAGCAATCACCGTCAGGATCAAGCCGCACTCACCCTCCTCTCCATCCTATCGAGAAATCCATGCGAAGGTGCACACAACAATTTTGGCCATCATCTGGACGACCATCCCATCGATACCGCGGTTACACCTGGTGTATACACCACCCATTGTTACGTCGATCCTCTGCGTTTGGATCTTCCTCAAGGAACCCACCTGGACCAGGCCGAACATTCCGGGCCTTACCTTTGGCACTAGAGATTGAGACCTTGCACCTTGATTCAACAATGTACCATTTGATCCCATTGATCAAGATTGTAAATTAGGTGTGTTTGAACATACCGTAGCAGTCCGGCATTAGTTAGTCTAGCAAATCAAATGAATTGTGGACTTCATGGACGAAACCTTCTGCAGTTTGATATCTCCTGCCTCCGATTGACACCTGATGGTAGTTGCCAAACCCGGATAAATTCGAGGTTTAGCTCTCAGGTTGCTTAATCGTTTCATAATTCCGCCCAGGATTGATCGCGAAGATGTCAGTCTCTATTGACCACGTCGGTGTCCTGCGGGCACTGCAGAGTTAGTTTATCCATCAAGTTCAGCATTTGTACTCATACGCCTTTACATACAAATCTTCCACCCTTTGAATAGGGAAGACGAAGAGAAACCGTCCTTAGTGCTCGAGTAAGATTGTGTGATTCTCTCAGTATCCTTTGTTTTTGTTTGCATCAGCGTCTGCTGAAACCAGTCCATCGTTTCCAGTTTCAATAATTTATGAATCAGGACGACAATGATGTGATGCTCTCGGCCGGGACGGAACACTACAGAGCATGACGACCTCGGCCTTTATCTGGATAGAGTCGCACGACAGAGGCCACCGGATAGACGATGAGAGCTACACAGACAGATGACACGGTCAGACGTTCTCCTCGCAGGGTTTCCGAAAGCTCCCAGGTTCAGTAGCTCTTCCGCTGCTCGCAATTCCACGGCAACGAAAGTGGCGAACAGACTCCTTTCCGGGTGCCCAAAACGACAGTCTGTTCCTCTCTGACTTCTCTGAAAGCATCGCCTGTGGGGGAAAGCCTCACAACCGAAAGTGGTAGTGTACAATACCGTGGATTGAGATCTGATCGCAGGCATATTCGGTCGTACGAGTGATAATTTCCGTATCGAATGATGCGTTTTATCGTGGCATGTTCGAATGTAGCGGGGGAAGGAGTACGGGAGCTTTGGCAGATATCGATCCGAACTTATTATCTACATCGGATTCGACGAGCTCCAGTGCGATTTGCGTTCGCACAATCGGTTGGTCCCAGCTGCTGTCTGAGCGCCATCGTGTGGGACCATCGGCAGGCATACCATATTTCCGTTTTATAAACGTTTAAATATCAGTGCGCGCGTCCTCGGTCCCACAAGATATTCGACCTAGCTTAGCGGTTTGACAATGTTGGCCACGACGAGCATTATGTCAACAACCCAAGATCATAGCTGCATCTGCACCTGTCCGTTAAGCTTCGCTTTTTCCGTGAAATCTGTTGAGCCTGGGTAAAGGCGTTCAAGGTTCGGACTCCAAGAGATTCTCAATTCTCACCGGATGCGGATGAATGCTCACGATTTTGTAACTATTCGTCTGTTCTCACATCAAGAACGCCAACTCACCAGTCGAACCTCGGCCGAACTCGGTCGATCCAGTTTCGGATGTCGCAGCATGTCAGAGTCTTTTAATAAGGAGAGACACTCCGAGCATCTCGCTGTTTCCACGTCGTGGCCCCTTGAAATTTCTCGATGCACAGCCACGTTCATCACGCTGCGGCGACAGCCCGGCACTGTACTGAGCCTGGCAGTTATCTTCGTTCCCCTGGCACGGCATGATGCCCGCCTCACCTCGCCTCGCCCGCGAGAGCGACTTTTCCCCGGTTCCAATATCGGGCGAATGTCTTCGCCGTCCGACGAATCTCGGGCTGCCCGTCACAAGAACCCAGGAAGCATATCCTTCCCCTCAGAAGTACATTCCTCCCACCCACTCCACTCCACTCCAGTCACCTGGTTAAGCACCAGGTTACCACGTTACTCTCTCAACCGTGAACGACAAGACGGGGTCTCGGCATGCCTTTTTACTAAGTTCATAAAATCCAGTATAGTCACCTGGTTAAGCACCAGGTTACCACGTTCCTCTCTCAATCGTGTGCGACAAGACGGGGTCTGGGCATGCCCTTTGCTTCATTACTCGGTGCATGAACTCCATTACAGTCACCTGGTTACAACGTTCCTCTCTAAACCGTGTACGACAAGACGGGGTCTGGGCATGCCTTTTGCTTTAATACTCTGGGGACATCAATAGTTACCGTTCTTGTGCTAGGGATTGATCTTTGGGTCTTTTCCCTTGCTTGTGGTTTATTGTGTTTTTCAGCTTTTTTACCCTTCGGGTACCCCGGGCTTGATCTATTACCATTTACCAGGTTCATGAACCGCACATTGCTCTGCGAAGGGAGCGAGGACTGGTGAGCTTCGAGGACAGAGAGAGGGAGCCGTGTCCCGTGGAGGTACCGCAGTCTTGCCTGTTACCTACAGACCAGCACAGTAGAGCAGTAGAGGCGGGTCGATGAACCGCCACCACGTACACCTTCTCGCGGGGAATCATTCCCCAGACCGGGATTCGCGAGATACTTTTGGGTGGAAAGGGCCGGGAATCTTTGTTGGCATCTAGGATGCCTGCCTGATCGCCACATTGCGGGCCCGTAATCCAGATATCATCGCCGGCAATACAGTGCGCGAAGTTAACCCCCGAGCCCACTGCAGGAGGCTTGACTTTCTTGCGTCTTTCTTCCCGTTGCTGGGAATGGAATGCTGGGCACAATTCAACGCTCTTGGAGCAGGAAAGTTGAGTCGGGGCTCATGTTGACTCGAAATGAATCTCATGCCCGTTCACGGTCGGCGCATTGACTACCTTCCGGTTTCTCGCGCACATTCGAATTCAAATCTCGTCGCCGCTGCCGTTGAGTTGAAATGTGAAGGATCGGTATGTCGATAATTCGTACATCATTTGTGTTGGTTTCATCTGGCATGAGCATTTCTTATTATAGTTGATGGGTGGCGTTTCATGGAGCTTTTAATTCCATGGGTCTCCTGGCTCATCATGTTTTTCTATCTTGGAATATATGCTTGTTACAAAAAAATGTCCGATATGGTCACCTCCTCAGAACAACATAATTTTTGGCCTTACTTGGAAAAATTGTATGTATTCTCTTCGTGGTCAAATCGATTTTCAGTCTTTTAACCCAAATGTTTGTTATGAAAGAAAATTTGAAGCATGCAAAAGTGAGCATATCTTCGGACAACTCACGCTCTTCCGGGAGGTTTTTAATTAAACCCTATCGTTTCTAAAACAGAGAGGGTTTACGGCTGAGGTAACCGTTCGTCACGAATTATTGAGATAAGAAAACACTACAGTGCCTCAGTTTTGAACCGTGAATCAACTAGAGATCATGGGTGTTAAGTCAGCTGGAGAGCATGCCCCTGATATCCCCTCGACGCCTTTTTTTCTACTGGGGGTAATGGGTTGACTTTGACTATATCAAGTTATAATTTTACCTTTCTCTTTCACTAAGTGGACTTCCACTTCATGACTGAGTGTTTTTCATGCAGAAAACATCGTATGTTTATTTTTAGTATAATATAAGATTATCTTCCCGCATATTTTATTCTTATCTATTTACATGACTTTAAATCATCAAGCACATATTTGTTTAAATTTTTTTCTTCACTTGTCATCCGTTGCGATTATCATTACATGCATATAGGGGCCAAGTGGATAAGAATAAGGTATGGAAATACCCCTTTTTCTTTCTTTCAAGTGACATCACTAGACGTGGCTTGTATGAATTATTTTCCTGACCATTTAGCACAGTCATGGCGAAAATGACTATCCTTAATAAACAATGATATCACGTGACTAAGATGCGACTTCATATTTGTATATGCGCTGTGCACGGAAGCACTCCATGAGGTTGTAAGATGTAATGTAACCACACCAGAGATAGCAGGTCCACGTGGATCTCAAATGCAGTACTCAATACACACGAAAGTTGTCTCACCTAGCAAAGTGATCTGGGCTAAAATTCGTTTACCCTTGATAAAGGGACGGGAGATGAACATTACGTGAGGATAAAACATTTTTAAGGACACGAGCAACATGATTTGGAACTAGTTTTTTCACATCTCTTGGCTATTATTGGGCTCCATTCCTCTTTCGTGTTGATTTGAGCAACTTAAAAAAACAAACCAAGACGATCTCAAGGGAGTTTATCCAAGGTATCCACTACTAGACGCCAAAGATACTTGGATTCTACTGTACTGTACATCCATATTGCCATATGTAAGATACTTGATGAGACCTGTCGGCCAACATGACTTCAGTCTTAATGTAATAAGCATTACCTTTGTCTTTGGTGAGGTGTTGTAATGTATGATCCAAAGTTAGAAAACGAAATAGGTGGATTATAGTTCTAAAAGCTATTGTTGTCTACAATTAATCCAAAACCGCAGTATATTTGGTTACTAAGACTACAAGGGTACGTTTGAACTAAACATGCAAATTTTGATTTTAAGCATTTAATGATTTATATACTTTATGGAAGAATGATTCATACCATGACGACAGTTTAACGGAAACAAAAACATGTTTAAAACACTATACACGTATGGTACTGGAGAATATTTTAGGAACATGAAACTATACAGATCCTCAAAATGTAGAACTCGTGATTACATGATCTATAATTTTTTGGTTTTCCACTCACTTAGAGATAAAACATTAAAGTACATGATTTCGCTCTAGTGGTACTCTAACATCATGCGATATTCTTGCATTTACCTATCGTTAGATAGAGATAGATACCTATCGTCAACACTCGTGTCAACATGTCCAAATCATTGTACATGCGGATTCTGCCCCAATAAGTGAGTTATCTTGCAGTTTTGTTAGTTTTGTGCAACATTTGGAATACCATCCGAATATCTATATTAAGATTGCACTATGCTTTAAGTCCATAAAATTTATCCACTATCTTGTACTGTTGTATGTGAATGGAATATTCACATACAACATTTAAAACAACACAGTTGAAAAAGAGTTGCAAATGTGATTGTTTTCTTAGCTTTGTTATGATTTTTTTCTCAATTAAATAGAAAGTGAATTCGAGTAAATTACCCAGGATTCCTTCTTACCAATTAGATTCATATAAATGATAAATTATATGGTATAAATGAAATGGCTGGAAAGAGCTTAACATCAAACTTTTTACATCTGAAAATTGATAGCACGCTTCATATAATGTGTTATTTGGACATGCATCTTCGAATGTATATAGACAGTCTTCATGATGTGTTACTTTAGCACAAACTTCTTTTTCTACTGCTACCCGAACGGAGCTAGGAAGTTGCGGATGCGTGTAGTTTTCATGTTGATCGATACAGTTCTAACCTACCACGTAATTAAAAAGGGGTGCATGTGAAGATCTTCCACAAAAAATCAATAAATTAGTAAGAAATCGAATGAGTGCTTTGCACCTCGGAAGTAAATTATATGTCAGTACTTTTCTAAAAACGTGTAAAAAGAACTAAAGGTTTCCATATAAGTTGCAGTTGCTGATTTTTTAATGTTATCAATAAAAGGATCGGCAAAAGCTTTTTAAGAGTGATTCTTGCATTGCATTTTATATTAGCCGCTTTATTGATCTCCAGAATACTGATGTCTTTTTTCTATCGTTGGATCATAGCCATAATTCTCAAATCTCAAGGTTGATGGATTTAGACTCACAAAGAACAACTCCAATATGAAGAGGGTTTCTCACATGAGCATGTCTATGTGGACACAGCATTCTCTAGGCCAGGCAGGTTTGTCAGATCCAAATGAAGAAGAGATGTAAAAATGTCGTGAATCCAAGAAAACCCGTAGATTACGACCATAGGATTTTACAATAAGTCACTCGACAAATCTCGAAGATACAGTTCGGGCTTTTGTTAGTCATTGCGCACATTAACAATGTCCTTCCGGGCTCCAGGCTCAAGCCAGAAGAATGCCGATCATAAAGGTCATTCTCAGTGCCAAGCCAGGAGATGATATTAGCTTTACAGCTCTTGGTACTGATTTGTAGTCAGAGGAAAAGCTTTTCTGAGGTATTTGTCAGAGCTCAGGAGACCTGAAAGGTATGCTACTATAGGTACAGACATCATTCGCAGACTTGAACAACAGTACGGTTTGCTAATGATTCTCAGGACAGTGGTTCCTCCGTCCACTTTATTCTGTCACCCGTTTACAAATGGTGAATGTTTTGTACGTCTCATCTTACTGATATACATGTATGTACGGTTTTTATACTGTATGTATAGAGAGAAATGTAGTCGATAGGAATTTTAGAAACCGTACAAGGCACATGGCTGCGTTTGTGGTCCAGCGTCAGCATCAGGTGAAATCCCAAATGGAAGTCTTATAATAGGATTCTCTCTGGGGTCCGGTGGACAATCT